AGTGTTGAGTACATACTTGTGGACAAACACATTTATGATAATTTATCTCTGGAACATTTACGGCGTACGGTGCTTGAATCAAAGCTCATTTWAATTGTGAGTTCTTGAACCACTGSACTGCCTACAGMTTTCCTTTAGAATCCCAATCAACCACAATACAGCGCGKGCTTGTGTTATTGTTTACATACCTTTAAATGCGACAAGCATACAATAGATTATAGATTGATAGTACTTTAGTGGTACTTAGCTAAAGGTATTTCTGTCCAAACTGAAAGGATGGACGACGATTCGCGCTCACTTTAAGAAATCCTACGAATCGTGTCCATCTAAAATGGCGYTTTGGCTCGCAAGGTACAGCGGTTGGTTGTGATTCTTTAACGGTGCTGATACTTCCATGATATTGTATTGTAGATTAAAGTGTTACTTGCATGAAAATGGCCTCATTTCAAAACTTCAAGCAATACAAATATATGACTCATTTATATTTATTAAAAACAATTGCGGGAAAATATTTGTCTTGGAATTATCCCACATCAGAGAAATTTTGATTCAAAAGATGGAAGAACAAAAGGATTGAGTAGATGACGTCATCTACTCCAACATTTTTTGCCCAAATTATTAAGGATTTGCATGAAGATTTCTTGAAATCTGTTGCCGTGCTTCATGATTATTACATCCATATGGATAGGTCTATTTGATTCCCAAGTCTTTTCTAATGTTTCGCAATTTTCGTCCAAGTAGCCTTTAATATTGTCGTTTCATTTTATTAGTTATTCAACAGCAAATTTTACCATTTCGAATGTAGTCTTTGCTTTTGCTTTAAATGTTTTTCGTTGTTTTCTGTCTATTTTCCTGTTTTTGTTTTGCTTTTTGTGCTTATACTCAATTGCTCATCAATTTAGCTTTAGCGTCGACGTTTGTCAGTTTGTTTTATTGTTTGTTGTTTTTGTGTGTTTGTGTAGGTTATATAGTAGCATGTTTTGTAGTGGTATTTGGGATAAATACCACGAGTGATATTTRTTTCAAATTCCACGTMCAATACATGCTGTTATTTGTTTGTAAAATGGTTGAATAGAATTGTGCAATTTTAAATATTGCTATTAAGAATAAATGTACCGCTCCTCTAAGCAAATCAAATTGCACARTTTTATTCAAYCATATTGTAATTCTCKTAATTGCTTTTTGTTGACCTCTTGCTTTCGCTTTTTCAGGAGAAGAACTCTATGCRCGAGGACGATTTTGGCATGAGCCAACTCTMATCGAGAAAGCAAATAATTTAAAAATGAGAAATTGTGAAGCACTGGAAAATTTAGCAGATCGTGCTTAACTATACAATTTTCCAAATATTATCAAGAAAAATGGTTTTAATCTATAAATATATCAGTAGTGTCCTATAATACATCACAAATTCCAGCAGAAGGCGTCCTCTTACCTGCTCCATGGCATTGTTCTTCACTGGTATTTAAGTGRTCTCAGACTGTATGGTTTTATAGTGGCTGGTATCGACAAACTTGCTCATAGTTATCAGTMTTCCTCGGTTACTTTTGACCGTTRGMCAGGCCTTGRTTRAAAGGGATTTGGTAACTATATCTGGAAAGTTATGGAACCATCTGWACCGACTWGARGATCACACTGTAAGCCRCGTTACATTGCCGACAACGCGAAAATYGSCTGTCCACTATAGTCAACTAGTATTTACTATTATAAACTGGAAGTTATTTAGTTGCAGAGSTATTTGTTGTCCTTTTATAATCAAACAGGACTCGAGAGATTKTTTCTTAAATAAGTTAAACGCAATGCCGTCTTCGTGACAACTGGTCAAATTTAGAGTGTGCGCTAAAAGGCACTGGGCATAGAAAAATTGGACTGGATAGATATGGAAAGTAAAACAGTGCTATTGTCATTTGCGATACTTCGCGATAGTGAAAAACTGCTCTTGATGGCACTTTGAATTTTGAATTTTTATTTCTTTATAAAATATTCCCGGGGGAAAAATGACTGGAGGTATTTATGTAATGTTTAAAGGCCGACAATGAGGACTTGACRGGRTTTCAAAGTCCGCGCAATTAGTTCCAGTCCGAGGCGCTAGCCGAGGACTGGAACTAATTGCAAGGACTTTGAAATCCCGTCAAGTCCGAATTGGAGGCCTTTGAACGACTTCAAAAACTCATTAATTATTCGGGAGGGAAAAAAAGCGAAGGAAATACATATAACAGAAATATATTGATTTATTGCATCTCCACTAAGGTTTTCAGTTTTCATAATTTTGATTACATGAAGCACCGTTTGTTGTTCTTCAATTCCCGGACGGCTTTCTGAAACAAAAGCTATTCAAATTGTCTTTGTCTGCTATTCATGGCATTCCTAATGAGCCTAATTCATAAGATTTATAAGTATGTTATCTTCCGAGGAATCGCATCAGAAACTCGGTGGTGTAATGGTATAAGACGGCGCATATAGACTGGACGGTAGGGGATCGAGTCGTGAGGGAGTCATGTATCAAAGACCTTTTTTCACTAAATTAATGTTAAACTGATTATTTCTAATAATTTGATTATCATTAGCTAGTAGTAGTTGGAAACATGGTAGAAGTAACTGGAAATAAGGTAGAA